GGAGCCATTATTCCTTCTATTGTGCGCAGGGCTTTAATGCAGCGCTATTTACACGTACTTTGGTCAGTATTTATTTAGAATTGGGTAATTATTTAGAATATGGGTCCTACTCTAGAATCTTAATAAAAATGTATTCATTCGACACGATTTCACTCAAAATGAAAGAATCTTGCAAAAAAATGCGGCGGTCGGCCGTGAAACGAGATATTAAGCGTTAAAGTTCGATATTTTAGAGGTTAAGATATTTGTCATTTCGATTCGCTGCAGCGCTATGTATACGTAAGGTCTGTCCTTTTTCGAAGAATTCTGAACTAGTTCTGAAATAGTGCAATAAGTCAGAATGAAACAAACTACAGCTGTCTTACTCTAACTTATTGTGGTGGTCACGTGTCCAACATCAATTAATTCCTAAAAATAAATATTTTCTACTTTAATTACACAAATTCTTGGTTTTACAAATACAAATTCACTGCTTTAGAAATTAATACAAATTTACTGTTTTAAAAACACAAAATCACGGCTTTAAAAACATAAAATCACGACTTTAAAAACACAAAAGCACTGCTTCATAAACACAAATTCACTGCTTTAAAAATACAAATTCACTGCTAATGCAGAGAATTTGTGTTTATAGCAGTGAATTTGTGTTTTTAAAATAGTGGTTTTGTTTTTAAAGCAGTGCTTTTGTGTTTTTAAATCTTGATGAAAAAGTTTCGCTGAAATTATTCCACGTTTTGGAACATTTTAGCGAAATTGCTAAAAATTTGCTGAAACTTCACTGAAAGTGAATTTTTCAGCTAACGTACTGAAAAATCTGAAATCCAACCGAAATTTCTCTGAAATTCTTGCTGAAATTTATCTGAAAATTTTGCTGAAATTTTGTCGAAAATGATTTTTCAGCTAAAAATCGCTGAAATTAAACTGAAATTTTTTTGAAATGCTGAAATTTTGTTGAAGTGTTCCAAAATGTAGAATAATTTCAGCAACATTTTTCCACCAGGGAAGCAGTGGTTTTATTTTGTATATTTAAAGCAGTGAATTTGTTCCCGTTCCCCTCTCCTTCCCATCTTCGTAAAACCAAAATCAATTTTTAAAAATTAAAGTTGGAAACCTATGTGGAACCGCGCTTCGCATAAAAACTTGTAAACTCACGAGTGATAAAGGGTGCTTTCCAGCAAGGACATAGACACTGTGTAACACAGTGAGTCGTTTCATTCTTGTTATTTGCCAACGTTAAATAAGGATGAAAGGACTCACTGTGTTACACAGTGTCTGACTATGTCCTTGCTGGAAAGCACCCGAAAAGAAGAGATGATCTGAATATTAATAAACATTCTATCGCTGTAGAAGTAAAATGAACACACATGTAGCCTTAGAGCATGAAAATGTGACCGCAGTGCATGGTTGCATAGCAGTATTTCGGAGCTGACAGATTTCCTAACCTCAATAGTCGTCAACTTTAATGCTTAATATCTTTGTTCGCGGGGCAGAGCAACGCTTATTTCTACCAGATTCTTTCATTTTATGAAAAACCACATCGAATTAAGCTTAATTTTATTGATTTTTGAACTGCGCATGCTAAACTGTACAATTATCGAAAATTGTCCCAACTTACATCAATCACAACGATATGATAAAACGGTCTGTTAGTGCAACCATAACGAGCTAACCGTATTGCCTTACTGAATGGCGAAATAACACCTGTCCCAGATGAACAGTGTAAAGGTAGTCGAGGCATATTTGTGCGTGTTAATATTAAAAACTAATCACTCTTTTCATAAAATTACTTGTTCACAATAGCCTATCTTCCAAGGACCTCTTTCACCAACTTCTGGTTAAATTAATCGACGATCAACTCGCAGAGGTACCAACAGCAGTTTAATGTATCAGTAGCGCATGGTATACGCATGTAAAGACAAGTGCTGGATTCACACTGCATCCGATTTTCGTCGTACGAC